GAGATGGCAAACTGACGGCTGCTCATGTCACTGTGAAATGTTGCTATGTTTATTGTGTACTGACATATAGTTCAGTTCTTAACCAGCCCACTGAAATAGAAACTGAAGTGGCTGTAGGCTGGCCATAACTGTTGAAAGACGGATATCCGATGGGGGAAATTAATTCCTGAGTGGAGCCTAGGGCTTTGCAAACGCAGTGTTAGGATACTCTCTGGCCAAATGAAGTGACGATCTGCGAAAGGCCGATGGATGCGACAAACTGAGGATTTGTAAGGCGAAATGATGCACTTCCAGCAGTGGATTACGATAGGCTGATAATAATTGATGGTACTCCTATAATTTTTCCGTTATCAAATTCTTGATTTTATTTTAAATTAATACCTTCAAGTGATTAAAAACATAATAATATAATTCACCTTGATGAACTACTGAGTGAGTCAGTAAAGTTGATCCCCTAAGACGATACTATTTTAATTAAATGTTGCAATTAATCATCGAGTTATCTCTTGCCAGCAGCTGGTAGCTGTAAAACTACCTAGCAGAGTGAAGAAGAAACTTTCATAGGTTTTTCACAGGTGGCGCTACGACAAAAAAAGTCGTTGAAACCAATGACAAAGATCTGCAACAAACTTATAGAGAAATTCGTGAGGTCTGCTAACACGTTCCGTAGCTCAGTTTGAAGAGCGATTTCCCCGATTTGGCTAAATGTCGCTGGTCTAAGTTCAGCCGGATCGAAGGATTTTTTCTTTGTGTTTGTTCTATCTTTGTATCAACACTATTTCCATTTCTATCAAAAACTAGCAACACGCACGTCAGTTTACTGTTTTTAATTAAAAATTCACCTACAAGCATCAATATTTGACATGCCATACCACCAACTAGTTAAGGAGTTCCCTGTACTATGAGTACTAAATTAACTCCTGGGCACCACTCACAGTATAATATAGTATCCAGACCCGCTTTGGAAAGTTTGTGTTCCAAATGAGTCCAACCGAATCGACCCCAGGACCATCTAGTTCTCTCTAGATCTTGCGCCCAGCGCTAACCTGCTCGACCACTGTGGGCGTCAGTTATACATTTAAGAATATAGGGCGTCCCAAAGTTTTAAGAAACAGGGGGAAAGTATTTTAAATTTTGTACAAGGGATATTTTACTTCATGTAGAAATAATAAATCGTCCAGTATTTTTATGATGGCTATCGTAAGAATCAATTATAAGCATTAATTCCTTTGAGTAACATAGCATCTCCTAATTAGCCATGAAACACCTGTAGTTATTCCCAATATCAACACTTATATTGTCGGTTTCTGTCATTTAACGTGTCAATTGATGAATATAAAGGTCGGATATGCGTACATTGTAGTATTAACATTAACCAACATTTCCACATCTGAAATTAAAGAAAAAAAAACTTCCCTGATACGTAGCAAATGTAATTTATTATCGAAGAAATACATTGACAAATGTGCTATTTACCGACGTTTTGTAAGCAGTATGGTCAGTAGCAACTTGTTACTCCATGCTAGCAAGCAATACCAAATAACTTCCACGTCGTCCGTGAGATGGCGCTAAAAAGCAGTTTCACTCTCGTATTACCTGGCTAAATTTAGGCAACAAATCGAATTAAATACCGTCGACCTAACGAAGCCATCTTCTCTCGTGGCCGTGTAATATCAACAAAAATATCACCTTCAAATGTATTTTGTAGGTTAAACATGATGTGATTTCGCGGTTTTGTACACAGTTCGCGATAAGCATGAGTGGCATTTGGTATTGATCTGATGGATGTGTGGTGCTAAGTGATTTATTTGTGATATAAAATATGTGAAAGTGTCAGGAATATGCTATTGATTCAATATTACTTGTGATTGAAGTGTTGACAATGGCGGGACATTCAAATTATAATGTTGTAAGTATTTTCATTGAAAATAAGCGGCGGTTTTGGTCAGATGTTGTTGTCATTTATTAAAATCCGAGCTATACTTTTTATTGCCGAACCGGTGCATATTGTTGCAGGAACTATTGGGTGATTCAGGAAAGGATAGGTCATTCAAGGTTACCTATGTATGGGTAACCGGTAATTATAAACTAAAGTTTAGGTTTTAGGTCACATTGGGAAATGACCTTTGGAACGAAGGACTTTCCTTTTATAGCTAGTTTTTTAACTTCCTGGCGAAGATGTCGTACTATCTAGAAACTTCTCTGCTTGATATCGCACAAAAACCGGAATTCTAGAAGTATGATAACTTTTTCAATTTTTACAAAAATTGGTTTTTTTGGCACATTTTTACTCCATAAACAAAGTAGCTTAAGTAGTCTTAACTATTGAAGTTTATTTTATATTAGCTGTAAGTATATTGTATATTGAGCCTTCTGCCATAATGCCTTGTGATTAAGAAAATTCGCAATAATTCAATAATTTCCATAAAATTTTGAATTAAAATAATTAAATCAAATACTATACAGTCCATGGACTATTTTATACTATCATAAGAAATTCTTTTTTTTCCTATTCCCTTTTTGTCATAATTTTATTAGTTTGTCTTTACACCTAATTTCTTAATATTCTATTCCTTACAAGATTACTTTGTTCTAGATTACTCAACATTTTAGGCTTCGAGCCGGAAGAATTGGCCGGTCGTTCTCTATACGACTACCACCATGCCGCTGACAGTGCTATGCTGGCACAACAATTCAAATCTCGTAAGTGCATTATTTCTATAAATTTGCCGCATTTTATTGCACCATTTTTTTGTCGATCGACACTCCTCTATAGGATTTTTGCGGTACTTACATGTAAAATTTTTGGTGTACGGAGTTCAGACAGCGCCATCTATAAAAGGTTTCCGGTACGAAAAGAAACGTCAGTTTTGATACCGTCGTTGTAACATAGATGGCGGAACAAGTATGTGATTGATGATTCTAGACAAATTGGGTTCTGCCATGCGATATGTCAGCCTTTATACGTTACGTAATTTGTAATATCCTCTATATTACGAGTTTATTCAAGGTGACGGAGATCGTTTTCTAAACGAGATTATTTTGATATTCTGCATATAATGAATGATTTAAAAAAGAAATTACAAAATGTCAATGTTTAGTTTTCATACAAGGCGTACAATTACACATTTTACACGACTTACATTACATATTAGGGGTTTGTTCACCTTTTATAATACACAGATTTATCGTTAACAAGTATACTTATTAAAAACGTAATCTGTAAAGCATGTTCATATTGTTGCGTTAGCTACATAGATAACCGTTGTTCACAGCCTTCAAGGTTTTCTATAAATATGATCAACCTACATGGTGCCTACAATGTTATAGTTAATATATTATGTATATGCAATATATACAAGTTTTCATACCTGTTATCACTGCGTACTATTTCAGATCTCTGGCCTTCCGCCAGGTAGCTACACAGCTGCAGAATAACTTTGACAAAAATGCTTTATTTTACAAAACAACACAGAACCCTATGAAACACAATTACTGAATCGCATAATATTTTTACGTATAAAATTCAGAGACTATTACGCGGCGAATCGTATAGAAATAAGAATGGCATGTCATATCATAGTTAAAAAAATTCTTTAGCGTCTTCCAATGTCTTAATTACAAGTTTGAACAAAATAAATGCATTAGGTTTTTCAAATTATAATAGCTGCCTATCTAAGTCTGGAAATAAAATCATATTTAAAAGAAACTAATGACTAATTAGAATGTAACCGGATGATATCTACAACTATCAGATTCTTAGTTTCTTAATTTTGAGCGACATCTAGCCGCCAAAAAGGAAATTTGGTTCCTACTTATGGATATGGTCCACATTTACTTCACGTTATATCATATTTACTGATTCGACCGATTTGTGATAGTCGATAATTTCTTCTTCAAAATGCCCCGCGAGAAATTGGTAAAATTGACAAAAAAGTTCACCATTGTACTTTGTACATTTGGACCCGTATAACTAAATCCGTGACAAATACAGATTATTAAGAACTCACTTGCCTAAATCAACTGTTTTTAATAATAATTACATCTTTTGGTCCATATCGACGATTAGTCGATTACTCATCACTCTGCATTCAAATTTGCTGTTCAAGATCTTTTATTAAATCCTAATCAATCAAAGACAGTGCTTGGTAAGCTGAGCAGGTTTCATCTAAGATGCCGATGCCTATGGTCTATTATATGGGAAAAATGGTGGTGCATATCGCTGATTGACATCTCAGATAGGTCTTGAAGCCAAATTTAGGACTTGTTTAATACAACGCGCCTAAAATAGAAACCTAGCGCTTCAATATTCACTAGTACCGCGTTACAATATATTGACGTTCCAAAAACTTCAGACTTTAGAGCGGTTACACACGGCGACTGTAACAGCATCTCACAATCGCGCTTTCGCATCTCTACACTTGGGATATTTAGGCGATTGCATCGGTATATACATATACATAAATGTACTATTTTTAAACGTTATTTTATTCCGTTTTCTACAAAATTATTATAATAATAACGCACACAATCAACTTAGCCCCGCACTAGGTAAACCCTGGATGGCGGGTGCCATGGACACACACATAGACAACCACAAATTACAGAATCGAACCAAATCATCCCCAGTATAACTAATGTTATGACGGGAAAAAATACTTAATTCGATTCAGAATTTCATTATTTATGTGTGTAAGGAACGAATATACACTCACAGTAACAACCGACAATACTACTTTAAATGGTTCATTGGAAGAAGACTTAAATTTCCATACTAAATAGGATATACGCTACCTATATGATATTTATTTGATGACCGCAGCAAAACACTGTAGGCCAACCTTGACTTTGGTCATGGTCTAGGATTTTTATTTATAAAGCGGTATTTTATTTTGTTACGTATTTAAATAGACGTGATAATTGTCGTTAAGAAGTTATACGTTTCTTTGATGTTTTTAAATCGGGCGTTCTAGTATCTAATTATAAAAGAATACAAGAATGTATAGGGCAAAAAGCCAAGATATCTTGCTAAAAATTATAGATCTCGAATGATCCCAAGAATACCGCAATGAAATAAAGAAATGTTCCATTGGCAAATATTCATAAATTATATATCATCATCAACCGACGAACGAAGACTAAATTTTGAATTAGACGATCGGCCTGTGACTCGAGATAGCTGAGTTCAAAGTGTACAGAACTGTAAAAAATATATATTTTTTTTCTAACAGGCCTCGAAAGTTTGTTTATCAGCTTTCGGTGTGATCGTTATCGTTAAACGTAAATTTGAAAACTGCATAACCCCGTTTTTGGACGATATCCCTTTTTTACTTTTCAAGCGCAATATCGGGCAATCAAAGCTTAAAATACAGTGTTGATTTGCATTCTCGCCATATTTAAGAAATTAATAATGGCAATAATGCTAAATCATCTAAAAATATTTAAAAAATTATTCTGTTCAATATTCTGGTTAATTGTAATTTGTATCTAGTAAAGTTTTGCAAAATTGTCTCGAAGTTGTATACCACGCAAGGACAGTGACCTCACCACCTGCTCACCGAGCGATACGTTACGATAATCTTTCCAGATCGCTTATTTACCTATTTTTTTAATTATGATTATGTACTAGTATTGTTATAATTTACTTTTTATTTACCTTAATTAGAAAAGTTGACTTAAAAAAGTTTTTTGTAACTTAGATTTGGTACTTACCAACTTTAAGTTACATGAAAGTATTGCTTGAAGTACCTAGCTTCAGCTATGCAGAGATTCGCACGTGAGTTTCGTTTCAACATTAGACAACAACTTTGAAAGCAGAAATTTCGACACTCGTATCCTCGGCGTAAACTAAAAACGTTTCACGAATTTTTTATTTTTTCGATTTATTTTTTTACAGATTTGGGTTTAGTTTGACCTCTGTAAATATGGCGAGAATGCAAATCAACACATTGTATAATTTGTAGGCCCCGTTTTTAGTTACAAAGTAAAGGGTACATATAATCAACGATTGTCATAGGATTATTTCTAGTAATTCTGTTTTTTGTGCCTATTCAAAGTTCACATCAATGGCGGTTACGAGGTTTACGTATTTAGCTGACGACGAGTTTAAGACATTATTATTTAATAACCTGAACGATAGATATTTTACAATATTGAAGATTTGTTATAAAATTTACATATCATTTCAAGTGCTCTTCAATTTTTCAAATTAGACAAACTTATTAAATCTGTTATTGATTTTTTTTTAATTTGATATATTTTATTATTGTTATTATGTTTTATTAGCATTAGGTTGCGATTAATTGGAGTGCATGATATACTTCATTCTAGTATTTACAAATCATTGCATGAAAATTACATGAAAACTTGGTTTGCTGTAAGGTGGCTCACGTGATTCAAAATTCATCGTTTAACGTCTTTATAACATGTATATCATAAAGAAACAAATGATTTTGTTTTTATATTACTCGACAGTCAAATTTTTATAACATTGTAACAAATAAAGTTGGAAATACACAATATCGGTTTAATGCTTTCTAGCAGCATTTCTCCTAAACTACGTAAATTAGCCAATGTTTATGTTACCGAGTGTAATAGAAGTCTTGACGACTATAAAAAAGCGTTTTCTGTTTCAAGACTAAGCCTAAATGTTACGCAACGACTCTGCACGAACCATTTTTTGGAATTACACGTAACTGGCCGTTCATTTTCATATTCCGACCGCGTTTACCACGTTTTTTAACCCCTAATTCTTATGGAAAGAACGTCTTACGGCTATTCCATCTTTTGTTCTACATTCCTCGCTTACTTAAGTCAATATCTCCGAAAATATTGCTACAATCAGCAGTGTATGTGAAAGGTTTGTGCGTGTAAAAAAAATATTTTTTTTCGATGCACTGGCTGAGAGCAGTTATGACCGCTTTCTGTATTAAAACCTCTTACTCGGGTAGTTTCTAAATGATTGTCACTTTATAGTCATGACTTTTTGCCGTAAAACTGTCAAGTGCCTTTGTTTCATTTGAACATTATCGTACGTACGTAGTACCAAAATTAAGTAAACGGTCAAACTCATTGTGAATACGCAAACATTGAAAAGGGTGTGTTTCCATCTTCAATGCCCTAAATATAAAAACTTAAGTCAAGGAATGAAAATAATGTCAACCGTGACCATGGGACCTGTAAAGGGCCGGAAACGTCGTCGGTTTGTTTGAAAAAACAAATATAAGCGATTTAAATCCGGAAAAATAGTTTCATTTCCCATGTGTAACAATCGCGAAAACCTAAGAACTCGTGAAGTCAATGAATTCATGGCACGTATTTATGTTTTCAGTTTGAGATCTTAATTGCACCTTAAAGTATTGTTAAGATTAAGGTTGATTTTTATTTAACTTGCAATACAATTTACCCACTGGAACGTGTAGATAAGATTATCTTTGGTGTTCTGGTGGATTGAATGTTCAGAAAACTTTTGACAATGGCTGTACTAGATATTTAAGTGACCGTGACCGAGGAAATCTAGGTGACGGTCGACCTATTAAAAGCAATTCAGATAAACACGGCATACACGAGCCCTTCGACAGGCAGAAATTTTCCCTAATTGATCTTGATTGTTTAGCTTACTACCTTGTACAAAACTGAAATAAGGTCTTAAAAAATTTATTACCTACTCAGCTTATTCAGTTAAGAAAATGCTGAACAACAAA